CTCTCAAATCAACACAGGTAATTGGATGACTCAGGATCTCCAGGGTTGGGTCCTTATGTCACTAAGGCTCACTAAGTATTTTTTGACTTCCAGACCTGCCACATATTCTAATGCAGGGGTGCCAAACATACGGCCTGTGGGTCGTATTTTTCCACACTGGCCCACTCAGTGACTTTGCTATGTGTAGAAATTGCAGAGAAGTCATTAATTCCACTTTTTCAATTAAATGCACCACGATTCCTGTTTGTCCAAATGAACCAGTTGCTATTTCTTCACAGAGGTACACAGGAAGCCAGTGTGCTCAGTTTGGGAGCAAACTCATCTTTCAGTGGTTCAGGACAACTAAGAACAGAGAGGATAAATTAATTGTTTGGCAGGATTGAGGAAGGAAAGCTAAAGAAACCTGGAAAACAGACAGTGTTACTACCTGTAACGTTACTTCTTTACACTAACAGAGAGGGACACATTTGAGTGCTTTGTTCTTCACAGGTTACTATGCAGTGGTTTTACTGGTCCGGCCCACTTGAGATCAAACTGGGCTCTATGCGGCCTCTAAACTAAAATGAGGTCGACACCCCTGTTTTCATGGTCCCATATACTGTTGAAGTGTTTCACATGACCAGCAGAGGGATCTCATGCATCCACAAACGCTCTCTGTCCATGTGTGGAGGCCTGAGGCTGCATCTTGTTGAAACTCAAGAGGACTGTTAGTTAGTTTATCACCATCTGGTGGTAAATTGGATCAGATTGCAGTGGAGACGGACAGATGAGCGTGGTATTTTAAAACATGACGTAAAGATGTGCTGACAATGTCCTGTGACAGACTGTATCTCAAATATTCAAACCTTAAATTCAACAGAAACAATGCAAATTGCTTTGTGGATGCAATATAAAGCCTTTCACCTCTCACATAAATGAGAGGGGGAAGAAGTCTGTTCCTGTCTACACATTGGGAAGGGGGCTCTGATTAGTCTCAATATCTGTGCCAGACAGTACCACAACAATAGTTTGGGGAGTCCTGAGGGTTTTGCAGTATTGGCATCAAGAATACTTGCTGAAGCTGGAGTCAGGATGTGAAAAGTATGAGTCATGTCTTATCTTCCAGACAACGGCTGATGAGGGCTAACGGCGTGCACACTGCAAAGATTAAGGTGACAAACACTCAGTGACGGACTGTCGGCTTGGTGTGGGCCAGGGCCTTTAGAGAAGCCTCTCAGGTGTAGGAGAATTAATGTGACTACTGATAGCACAGGAATAATTGCAGGTATTTTTTAGTGACAATTTTGTTTTGCCCTACATCTATGGTCTGAAGATCAAGGCAGTGAACGTTTGCTTGAAGTCACTGATTCAAATGGGAAATGGGAAAAATTCAGTGTAAACACAGGGTGCCAGAGTTCACCTCCCACTTTGTAATTTCAAGTAACTGCTTTTTCAATTCCTCACAGTGTTGCCATCTAGTTGCCAATGTCAGAGGGACTTCATCTCAAAGCTTCACCAGACGAATCCCTTTAAGGTTGGGGCGTAAAAAAGGACCAGCGGCCTGCTCTGCTTGACCTGTTGCTACTGGAAACAACACAATACAAGCAAAAACACGGACTGACGGATGAATAATAGAAACATGAATCAGCGCTGCACATGCAGCAGAAGTACAGAATGTGCAACATGTCATGCCACGGGTCCATGAAGTGAACTCTGTGTAGATAACCGCGTTAGCTGACGATAATCCCACCCCAGAGATAACCAATTAGAAGAGGTATGTCGCCTGAGTGTTGCAGTTTGACGCAATATGACAAATACCTCAGGTAGCGTGGTGATTTATTTCAGCTCTTGTTAATGATCTTCCAAAGGAATTAACATTATAAAGAATAAATAACAAGGCATTAAATTAAAATTAAAAAAATACATTGACCGAAAAAGCAGAAGCTTAACCTTTTATACACTTTATACACAGCACAGTCTCTTACTACTAGGTTTAGATTACACACACACACGCACAAAATTTCCAAACCATTTCATACACAATAATAATGATGCCTCTGTTAGCAGGAAACTGTACTTTCACAAGCCTTACGTTGGTGTAATGCAAAGGAAAGATAACAGCTGACCTGAACTTTAATCTTTTGGGTGTAAACTCACATGTAAGCATGAAAACTTGCACAGTCCATTGTGACATCTCTGATCTGACGTGACTATATGTACTGATGTATTCACTGTAGTTACATTCTCATACTTACAGCCTCAGCATGGTGACGATATATAATTCATTTTAATATTATGATTTTTATATCTTAAGCACCAGTGGTAAAGACAGTAGCATAATGCACACTTTATTTTTATTTAATGCACATTTCATTCCTACTTTATTTCATTTATTGCTCTATATTTACACATTTGTTTCTCATAATTCTCTGTTCTTTACATCGGAGCAACTGTAACGAAGTATTTCTGATTCTGAATCCATCAAACAATTCAGTGGCAGGATATTTTTCTTTATGTCTCTCCACATCCAATGGAAACTCAGCTGTATTTAGTTTAAAATCACCATCTATTGTTGAGTTATTTTGACCTCAGCGCTCCTGTCAAACAAAGCACTCTGGCTTTAGCTATGTGACTCTGCTGCAACGACATTATCACTGTTCACTACACCTTTTAAAGACTAAATCCAAGATGGCACACAAATCACTGCAAAGCGCACTGCAGACGTGTAAACACTGAAAAGTTAAAACAAGCAACATTTTCTTGAGAGGGTTTTCATGTTTAAAAGTCTGCTGAAGATGTGAGATTTTCTTTGAAATCGCTTAATTATACTCATTATTCCCCGACAAGACCTGAGGTACAACATCAAGAGGTGAAAACAGAAGGATACGTAGGTTGCCATAGTGACATCGCAGACACACAATGCCCAACCTTGCCTACAGCTGTAACAATAACCCAACACAATATGTTGTAAGCACAAAGAAAGGGATTACAAACACAATGCATGCGCACACAAAAGAGTTTTACCAGTGAGGACAGTCAGAGGGGCCCCTGTATTGTATGTGTGATGACACACGTGTGAACTGCGGTATCTTCTGCTGTATCTCCAGTGATGAGGTTATCAGGAGCTCCTCGACCTGCTGTAAATTGTTGCATACAACTGCTGATAGGACCAGGTGACAAAGGCTCAGTCAGCACGACTGAGTACCTCTGTCTCATCAACTGAAAGCTCTGTTACAGAAGATAGCAATGTGTGAATTAACCCTTGTCATCATCGAGGAATAGGGCACCACGAAAAAAGATAAATGACACGTTATTTAAAAGTTAATAACTCATAAACACACAAAAAAACATTAATTTGCCCAGAAAATGTCTGAAGTTTGTGTCGCTCACACTTTTCATGGTTTCATTTTGCACCTTTTTCCTTTCTTTACTGACTTTACCTAAAATGTTTTATACCTGTGCAGTGGTGGAAGAAGTAGGGAGAGTAGGGCTGTATGATGTTCTTATCCAGAAGCAGGCGATGTGCTGCTGTAGAGGGGAGTCAGCAACAAGGCATATTTTAACCACCTAAATAAAGTCCCCCCCCCCCCCCCCAAAAAAAAATCAATATCCATTTCAGTGTTTGCTATATTTAGAATATTTCCACTGCTTTACTTTAATGTCAGACAGTGATTTTCAACTCAAAACTGAAGCTGTGATATCGCTCTCTTCAAAGCCAGACTCCATTGAGAAAAACAGTGATTTAACACTGCTGAACACAGGAGCTGCTGGTCTACCACTGCCTCGATCAGGTAGTTAGACAGTAGTATTGTGTGACTTTGGCTATTAAAAAGTAGTTAGTTTGGATTCACCAAAGTCTCACAATAAGACAAACTAACCAACTGACCGATGCAGCGGTTAACCAGCAGCTCCTGTGATCAGTGATCTTAAATTAATGTTTTTGTCAATGGAGTCTGGTAGCTTTGACGAGAGCATATATGGCTAAGTGAAGCTGTTCACGGCTTCCCTGTCAAAACAGGATGTGCCAAAAAAAAGTTAAAGCAATGAAAATATTCTCAATATTGCAAACACTTACACTGATAAAGATTTTTTAGGTGGCTAAAATACATTTTATTGCTGACCCCATCCACAGCAGTACATTGCTCAGCTTTTGTGTCAGACTCCAGCCTGCTTCTCCAAACTGTGGGAAGCCGATTGCCATTCACTGTAGGCTGTGTAACACACTGTCTATGGATAACTACCCCATAAAACCCCATTTAAAAAAAATAAAAACTATCCCTTTAAGTAAAAGCGCCAATACTTCACAAGTCCTGCAATTAAAATTTGACTCAGGTACAGAGTCAAAAATATTTTATTGATACCTGGGGGGAAATACGAAATGTTACAGTTACTCCTATAATGTATGAGAAATTTTTAAAAAGAAAAAAAAGAAGTACACAAAAACAAAATGTGCATTATGCCACAATATATAAAACGATACATACATATAAATATTAAAATAATAAATGTGTTGCATGAGAAATAAAATCATGAGCAGCAAAATGCATCAAATTATTAAAGTTTCAAAAAGTATCAGAAGTAAAAGTCCTCATAATGCAGGCAAAATAATCCCCGTCAGATTGTTAATGTTGATGTATTAATATGTACGCAGCATTTTTGTTGCAGCTTGTTGAAGTAAAGCTAAATGTTGCATCTTTATATACTCTTTAAAAGTTTCATTTATAATAAAAAATATATTATTAAGAAATAATCTGTTGTGTAAGTGGAGTAAAAAGTAAAATAATTTACAGATTTAATATTTAAAGATGTTTAATGTGACCTTAAAAGTATACTTGAATACAGTTCCTCTGATCTCTCTCACACACACACACACTCACACACTCAAAGGTGTGGACTTTGTGTCTTCCCTGTGACTGCTATCAGGCATCAAGGTTCAGGTCACCTCTTTACGTTGGAGGTGATTAAATTGTGATTAGCAGTGATTAACTCACCGTCTGGAGCTATTTAAGCCTCTGACTCTCTGACTGAAGGCACCGTTAGGTCCGAGAACCCCAGGAGTAAAGGTACGTCTCGTCCTGCTTTACTTTGGTGTTTCTTATTCTTTGTGTGGCTTCAGACAAACACATGTTGCTCATATATTTGTGAGAAACATGTTGACTTAAATTTCTCACATTACCAGACAGTTCTGTTCTTGCTGCTTCACACTATTCTTATTATCGTCTCTGCTCCTTTCAGTGTCATCTAAATTATTATTTCACTTCCTTCAGGTTGGTCTTGCTCATCTGCAGCCATGAAATTCTCCCTCGTTGCCGCTGTTGTCCTTGTGCTGGCTGTTGCCCACGGTAAGACATATTTTCACTGTGTTCTAATTTATGAATTTATGAAAGAAGACATACAGACTATTAAACAGTGATACTCAAATCTGGCCCCCAGTAGGATGCCAGGTGGCCCCCCGAACCATTCTCTAATTAAAGGGGAAAATATACTGATTCACAGTGGGGATTTTTTTGCTTTTTTCAGGCTGCACGATATGAAAAAGAATATATTGCAATTATTTTGACAGATGTTGCGATTGTGGTTTGAGTCTCAATTTTAGTGGGAGTGGTAATTTTAGAATTTCATACTAATTGAGAAAATATAAAAACGATAATGGGACTTTTTCTGAGGTCTGTGCCAAACAACCAGGTTTCCTTATGTCTGGAATATGATTTGTAGGCATGATATCTCTGTAGCATCACAATGCTTCATTTATAATAATATGCTGTGACATATTTTATCTTAATTAATCAAAGAATTGCAGCTCCTGTGATTTGGATAATACTACAATTAACTGCTCTACTTTTAATATAAATAAGGTGCCAGAGTGCATAAAAAGCATTAAAATAGAGCATGTTTATAGAATTAAGTGTCAGGGTGGATCCTCTGGACCCCCGACAGAGTTTGGGATAAGCCCCAAATGTCCTCAAATCCTAGAAATGCCCTGCAACTGGCCCCTGGCCTCCTGCCATTTTGTAAAAGTTAGGTATCCTTGCGATAAAATATGTAAACGTGACTTAAATCTGAATATCTGCTTCATCTTCTGCACATGAAAACCTTTTTTCTTTGACTTTTAAGCAGTTAAAATCTTAATTTTTACCTCACCACAATGAAAGTTAGAATATACAGTAGGTCATAAACATTTTTTAAAAAAGGTGAGACCTCGAAGAGTCACACTGTGTGTGTGTTCTGTGAGGAAATTACGGCGTTACTGTTCATGTTACTGTCTTCAGGTCCTGCAGCGTATATGTTTCAATAAGATTTAGTGGGTTCAGTTAAAGAACAATAAACGTGTGTTTCACAGGCACTCAGGCCGGGTCACTGGTGAAGCGTGACGCCGAGTCCGACATGGACAAGATCACCAGGCTCATCAACGAGATGTCCGCCAGCATCACCAGCGCCACCCAGGACATGGTGGAGAAGGTGAAGACCATGGAGGTGGCCAACCAGGCCCAGTAAGTATCTTTCACATTGTTTAATCTTTTGTCTGGATGCAGCAACTTATCTCTTATCACTGTGTGGATTATCACGAGGATTTAAAACAATTGTTCCTTTGAGTGTTAGCAGCAGGTTTGATCAGGCATTCAGGGAAATGCTTCAAGAATAAACTCTAAATGTAAATGGCCAGTGTTAAGTGTTAACATGACTGTGTGACAGCTAAATTGTTCTTAGAACAATATAGTCAAAATGGCACATGGAAGTTCCAGAAGAGTAAATTTCCCTTCTGTGAATTAGACTCTATTATTTTTTTAACTTAATTCTACTAGCTGTGCACTGACACACAGAATACAGAGTTATTCTTTCGAGTTTACAGAAAACCTTGTGTAGCTGAGAAAAACAGCTCTAAAATCATTGAATGTGTCAATTTTCAGTCACAAAAATCATATTTATGATGGAAAATTACACATAAAACACGAGGCTAAATGCTCACCACCTCTTTTGATGGTAAAAAGCTTGTGTATGAGATAAAACCCACATTATTTTGACCCATAACCTGCACTGAATACATGCATTAATACACACAGTACACACCAGAACAGCTGTTTCTCATGACAGAATAACACACTTAAACATTTTCAGGCCCCTTTTTTAGTTCATTTTCTTTATTAAAACACGATTGCAGCGACTAACAGACTTCCAACTTCCTGCCGCAGGACTTACATGGAGGACAGCAGGGCCAAGATCCAGCCTCTGGTTGAGAAGGTCCAGGCCGAGGCCGCCAAGCTGCAGGAGCAGGTCAAGCCCTTCATCACCAACATCGAGGATCAGATCAGGCCCATGACCGACAACTTCAACGCTCAGGTCAGGCCTCTCACCGACAACTTCCACGCCCAGGTGAAGCCTCTCACCGACATGATGGAGAAGTTCTTCCAGCAGGTGATGGACCAGACCAAGGCTCTGATGCCCCCCCAGTAAAGCATTCTGATGGTCCGTTCCAGCTGCGTTAACACCCTCAGCGGCAGAATGCATCACTGGTGTTTGTCTGACATGCTCCTGTGTCTTTAATTTATTTGAGATGTAATGCTTGAATGTCATCATTAAAGGGGTTTGAAAGTCACTCTTGAGCTGATGTTTTCTTTATTTTGACGTATACGAGTAAATATTTGAGATTAATTAACGGACAGCCAAAGGGCGAGCAATCAAGCTGAAATGAAATGTAATGTAGCAGAATCTGATGAGAGTTACTCAATGAGGTGGAAGTCGATATCAACATTACCTCTGACCTTTGGGTCACTGGTGTTTTCCATCATTCATGGTTCAATATTCTGAAGTACAGGCTGGGGTCCAGCCTACAGTATGGATAAGATCAGGCTGATGGATGTATTGATTGAAACCAATCATTAACCGAATACACAATCAGAATGATAACCAGAACAAATCTGACCGTGTAAAAGCCGAGCAACTTTTGCTGCATTCATATTTTTAATCACAACCTTTAAGCTTGCAGGGAAAGAAAATAAAATCACTTAAAAATAAATAAATAAACAGATTAACAAGTAATGAATTTGTGTTTTTAATTTACCATTTGCTCAATCAATATCACAAATACTTCACATTCAGTTCATTCTCTGTTAACAAAAGCATTCCTAACAAACCTCGCTGAGAGCAATTTACTTCAGGAATAACAAAAGCATAGACGACAATTATATTTGAAACACAATTTAAACAATGCGGTCATTGTTGTGAGGTAAATTTGTTTTGACAAATTACTTCACAGCAAATTTGTTTGCTGTTTCTTACCAGTCGTGTTCCGCCTCTTTTTGTGTGCTGCCACCTAGTCCACACAGAAGGGACAGAAATTACCACGAGCTGCAGATGTGAGCACATTTAAGTGAAGCTGAAATGATTAATTGGAAATAAGTTAACCATTCTGAAACCAAACAAAATGATCCGTTAGCGAATGTTCATGCTGAAGAGGAATTAGATTTCTCTCAGTCCAATCAGGGGCGATTTATCAAGGGCGCAGGTTTCATTTCAACACTGAGGGAGACACATATGAACTAAAGGGTTTGGGCATCCCTTAATTTTCTACATTCTGGTGAATTTCCATGTACTAATTTGTGGCTTTTCTGCATCAATTTATGGTGTAAATGTCTAATTTTGTCAAGATTAAAGTCCTCTGCTGCTTTAATGTTTTTACTGGGTGAGAAAAATGTTCTAAATATTCAAGGGGACGTGTTTCCTGCATCCCGCCTGCGATCTACACTTCTACAAATTGTATACTTTAAATTATTTTTTTGGAATATTAAACCTACTTAAAAACGTGTGCCTTTAAATACTTGATGCAGGATTTTCACCCAAAACTGTGCGACCTCTCCCTGATAAAGATAAATTGGCTTCTTCTGGCTGGTGTGCACAACAGTAACTGGAGCACTTTACTATGCAACCACCCAAAATTTTAAGAGACATTTCACAGACTTGTGCCTCAAAGCAGTGAGGGAGACAATGACTTGTTGTCAGTTTAACCACAAAACAACAAAATCACTAGTCTTCCATGCTGCTGTGGACGTCCTCACGCAGACGGCGAAGGTTTATCTTTCTCTTTCAAATAACTGTGCAGCATTTTTCCAGATACACTCTTTGGCATTTTGTTTCGAGGCCATCTAAATGAGCCGGTAAAATCGTTACAGTAGGATATACTCCTACATCAGCTCACTCAATAGAATACATAGTAATTTAACAACAGCATTATTCCCTCTGTCACTGCATTCTCCTTCCAGTTCTGTTGCCAAGCTACGTGCCATACTCAAGGTGGCCTCCTTGAGCTAATGTATGATCGTGTGGAGATGAGGGAGGGCTGAAGGAGCTTTTGACAAAACCTCTGCGGCTCTCCTTCAAACCAAACTTTCTTCAGCACTCTCAAACCTGCCGGTTGAAGGCCAGAGAGTGTTTGTCACAGACAGGGCTGGCAGTCCTGAGCGGCCTTCTCCTTGTGCCGGCAGAGATTAAATGAATCGGTTGGCAGCCTGTCAAGAAACCATCTGTGAAAGTGCTCAAACTTGTGCTCGAAAGGAAAAACACTTACACGAACAAGTTCCCCTGCACGGGTTATTATTTCAATTACTGCAATTATCTCTGTGCGACTACTTCATTATCTTTCACCTACCATTTTTCATATTTGAAAACAGGAATCGTAAAGCAATCATCCTGCATCTGCATCTACTGCTGTTGGATATTTAGCTCCCCTTTGCTTTTACATCGCAGCAACAAACATACATTTCTATCTGTGTGTTGCGGCATCATAAACTCGCTCACAACGTGCAGGTTCTGTACCTTGAAACATGGAAGCAAGAGTTTTGTGTGAACCTGTGGAAGGTTCAGTGTGTTCTCAGAGGAAGGACGAGGCCGAGGGATGGATCAGGGTAGAAGGAGGGCCAGAGGTTGGCGTCGGGGTTATCTGCCAGGTGTGCTCCAAGGCTCAGTACAGCCGGTGACAACCCCGCACGCTGGAACAGAGAGAAAACACACGAGCTATCGTTCAGTCACTGTGGTGTGTTTCCACGTACTGACGTCAGTGTTAATGAGTTCAGTGTCAGTTTGATTCAGCTGTCAGTCAGTGAAGCTGCTGCAAAAGAGAAGCTGAAGAGAAAGGAGGCTGTGAGCGAGTTAATATCCACTTCAGCATTTTAAAGCTGATTAAGGCAGTATTTAATTATATTTCACAACAGAATAATGTGACACATTGCAGTTAAAAGTAGAGCTGCAACAATTAGTTGATAGAAAATGGATCTGTCTGCAACTTGCAATTGCAATATCACGTTGAAATATTTTAATAATCACTCATTCTCTCATTCTTCAACAAAAAGACAAAAATGTGATGTTTCCAAGTCGTCAAATTTGAGAATATGCTACTTTTCTTGGTCTTACATTATAACAAACTGAATATTTTGGATTTTTTTTAACATTTGACAACTTCACTGTGTGCTCCATGACATTAAGATGAGCATCTCTCATTCTTTTTTACAATAATGAAAACAGTTGCAGCCCTAGTTGAAAGAAAAAGCAGCACATAAGAGACTGCAAGAAATACATAGTATTATTTAAACATAATTAAACAATAGGAACAGTTTCACAGTGAAAAAAGGATTTTTCTTTTCATTTTCCATCTGATTTAATTGATTACTTTTTGGACGAAGCAACAGCAGGCTACAAAAACTCATTATTTCTTTACAATTTGTATTTTTTTTGCCACAAATTCCATAATCCAGCTCCTCCTGAGCTCTCACAACCCCCCGAAACTGAAAACTGCTGCATTAATTTAACATTTCTCCCGCTTATATGTCCTGCACTCAGTTCCACATTGTCAATAACAGTATACAGGCTCCAGGTGAGGTCAATAATGATCAATAATTTAACCTTAACAACAGTGTTTTGGACATGTGAAGTCAGCTTTTGAGGGAAGACGTGCAGTCAGTTGTTTCGCACTTTGCCATTTTGTTAATGTGTTAGCTGGACACATAGTGATGGACACACACACACAGTATAACAGTGATGGACACACACAGTGTAACAGTGATGGACACACACAGTATTCACAAATCGTTTTCACACATTCGATGCTTGATTTATATCATAAAAAGCACTTTAGTTTTAGGGGTTATACCAACACGTCACCCTATATATTTGAATTATTATGTGCTTATGTCGTAAAGTTACACGCAACATATCACAAGTAGGAAAAGGCTGTCTGTGTCAGGTTTATCTCATCGCCTTCATACACGAGTATGCAGCTTATTCTTCAGTTCTATCAGATGAAAACACATTTTCGTTCTCGTAACAGAATAAAAATCTATTTCTGAATCTTTCCTGCCGCTGCCCAAAGAAAAAGTGAGTAATTATTTCTGCGTTCACAGAAATAAAAGAACATTTTCTGCAGAATTTCATTGTGTGAAATTGATTCCTACTGAATGTAAATCCTGACATGAACGCAGAGGATTGACTGAAACTTGAGAGCGTGTCGGCCAACAGTGCTGCCATCTCAGACAACCCTGTGTGTGTTTGTGTGTGTGTGTTTGTGTGGACCGCGCAGACACAATGAAACCCGATCTGCAAGTGTGTGTGTGTGCTTTTGCTCGTATTTGTGTGTGCACACATCTGTCGGTGTGCTGTGTGCTGTTTGTGTGGCAGTCTAAGGTGTGCATGTCTGTTTTTTTCCACATCAGAATTTGTGTATTTTAAATGCTTTTCACGAGGCTGATTAACAACGAGCGGATTTCTCAGGATCTATGTGCAGTTTGATGCTGAATGCAGGGATGCGGAGACAGAATGGACCGGTTGCACAACTGAAAATCAATAAGAGAAAGCGGGTGATACTGACAGACAATGGCAAGACAGTCATGAATTACAGGAGAAAATGTGTGTTTGGATTAACAGGGCAAAACTGTTGCAATAAAGACAACAAAAACAGTAAAGACTCAGAAGGCGTCGCAGGTATTCGTCTCAGTCAAAACAATAAAAATACATATAATGGGAGATGCACTGATTTATCCGAAGGTAAAATTGCTGGCACTTACCACTCTCTGAATTAGGCACCTGGGGTCATCCACAAGGGCGTCGATTGCAGGCGCACAAAAAAAGAGCAATTTTCACTGCACAAAGAGAAAGCGGAGTCTTTGTCAAAAACAAAAAAAAAATAAAAATCACTTGAATTCACAAAAAGGGGTTTAAAAAATGTATAGGCTCACAGAAAAGATGCTAAAATGCTTTGGGGTTGAGAAAATGGAGAGATCGAGGGGGCCAATCTCTAACAGCCAGCGGTTAAAGACAACAGAGTCGATGTTGGCCTCTGAGGAGAAAAAAAAAAGGACACAGTCTGTCTCCAGTGGCCAGTGGAGAACACTGATAGATATGTTTTTGCTGGCATGGATTATGTTTTTACTCAGAACTGACAGACAGACAGCCCCCATGCACACAGGTGCTATTCAAGGAAACTGTAAAAGTGACGTCACGGAGAAAAATCTAGCCCACAAACCTTTTCAACACTCAAGTCCCGCCCACTACATGTTGCTCTGTTCATATTTTTTCCCATTTTCTCCTTTTTTCTCTCCACTTCTCTCC